AATATTCTTTAAAAAATCCACGCCTTGGATGGTCCTTGAAAAAATATTCTTTAAAAAATCCACGCCTTGGATGGTCCTTGAAAAAATATTCTTTAAAAAATCCACGCCTTGGTAGATGGTCCTTGAAAAAATATTCTTTAAAAAATCCACGCTTTGGTAGGTGGTCCTTGAAAAAATATTCTTTAAAAAATCCACGCCTTGGTAGGTGGTCCTTGAAAAAATATTCTTTAAAAAATCCACGCTTTGGTGGATGGTCCTTGAAAAAATATTCTTTAAAAAATCCACGCTTTGGTAGATGGTCCTTGAAAAAATATTCTTTAAAAAATCACGCCTTGGTAGATGGTCCTTGAAAAAATATTCTTTAAAAAATCCACGCTTTGGTGGATGGTCCTTGAAAAAATATTCTTTAAAAAATCCACGCTTTGGTAGATGGTCCTTGAAAAAGTATTCTTTAAAAAATCCACGCCTTGATAGATGGTCCTTGAAAAAATATTCTTTAAAAAATCCACGCCTTGGTAGATGGTCCTTGAAAAAATATTCTTTAAAAAATCCACGCCTTGGTGGGTGGTCCTTAAAAAAATATTCTTTAAAAAATCCACGCCTTGGTGGATGGTCCTTAAAAAAATATTCTTTAAAAAATCCACGCCTTGGTGGATGGTCCTTAAAAAAATATTCTTTAAAAAATCCACGCCTTGGTGGATGGTCCTTAAAAAAATATTCTTTAAAAAATCCACGCCTTGGTGGATGGTCCTTAAGAAAATATTCTTTAAAAAATCCACGCCTTGGTGGATGGTCCTTAAAAAATATTCTTTAAAAAATCCACGCCTTGGTGGATGGTCCTTAAAAAAATATTCTTTAAAAAATCCACGCCTTGGTGGATGGTCCTTAAAAAATATTCTTTAAAAAATCCACGCCTTGGTGGATGGTCCTTAAAAAAATATTCTTTAAAAAATCCACGCCTTGGTGGATGGTCCTTAAAAAATATTCTTTAAAAAATCCACGCCTTGGTGGATGGTCCTTAAAAAAATATTCTTTAAAAAATCCACGCCTTGGTGGATGGTCCTTAAAAAAATATTCTTTAAAAAATCCACGCCTTGCTGGATGGTCCTTAAAAAAATATTCTTTAAAAAATCCACGCCTTGGTGGATGGTCCTTAAAAAAATATTCTTTAAAAAATCCACGCCTTGGTGGATGGTCCTTAAAAAAATATTCTTTAAAAAATCCACGCCTTGGTGGATGGTCCTTAAAAAAATATTCTTTAAAAAATCCACGCCTTGGTGGATGGTCCTTAAAAAAATATTCTTTAAAAAATCCACGCCTTGGTGGATGGTCCTTAAAAAAATATTCTTTAAAAATCCACGCCTTGGTGGATGGTCCTTAAAAAATATTCTTTAAAAAATCCACGCCTTGGTGGATGGTCCTTAAAAAAATATTCTTTAAAAAATCCACGCCTTGGTGGATGGTCCTTAAAAAAATATTCTTTAAAAAATCCACGCCTTGGTGGATGGTCCTTAAAAAATATTCTTTAAAAAATCCACGCCTTGGTGGATGGTCCTTAAAAAAATATTCTTTAAAAAATCCACGCCTTGGTGGATGGTCCTTAAAAAATATTCTTTAAAAAATCCACGCCTTGGTGGATGGTCCTTAAAAAAATATTCTTTAAAAAATCCACGCCTTGGTGGATGGTCCTTAAAAAATATTCTTTAAAAAATCCACGCCTTGGTGGATGGTCCTTAAAAAAATATTCTTTAAAAAATCCACGCCTTGGTGGATGGTCCTTAAAAATATTCTTTAAAAAATCCACGCCTTGGTGGATGGTCCTTAAAAAATATTCTTTAAAAAATCCACGCCTTGGTGGATGGTCCTTAAAAAAATATTCTTTAAAAAATCCACATTTATTTGGTCCTTGAAAAAATATTCTTTAAAAAATCCACGCCTTGGTGGATGGTCCTTAAAAAATATTCTTTAAAAAATCCACGCCTTGGTGGATGGTCTTTGAAAAAATTTTCTTTAAAAAATCCACATTTATTTGGTCCTTGAAAAAATATTCTTTAAAAAATCCACGTTTATTTGTACCCTTGAAAAAATATTCTTTAAAAAATCCACGCCTTGGTGGATGGTCCTTAAAAAATATTCTTTAAAAAATCCACGCCTTGAAAAAATATTCTTTAAAAAATCCACGCCTTGGTGGATGGTCCTTAAAAAAATATTCTTTAAAAATCCACATTTATTTGGTCCTTGAAAAAATATTCTTTAAAAAATCCACGCCTTGGTGGATGGTCCTTAAAAAATATTCTTTAAAAAATCCACGCCTTGGTGGATGGTCTTTGAAAAAATTTTCTTTAAAAAATCCACATTTATTTGGTCCTTGAAAAAATATTCTTTAAAAAATCCACATTTATTTGGTCCTTGAAAAAATATTCTTTAAAAAATCCACGCCTTGGTGGATGGTCCTTAAAAAATATTCTTTAAAAAATCCACGCCTTGGTGGATGGTCTTTGAAAAAATTTTCTTTAAAAAATCCACATTTATTTGGTCCTTGAAAAAATATTCTTTAAAAAATCCACATTTATTTGGTCCTTGAAAAAATATTCTTTAAAAAATCCACATTTATTTGGTCCTTGAAAAATATTCTTTAAAAAATCCACATTTATTTGGTCCTTGAAAAAATATTCTTTAAAAAATCCACGCCTTGGATGGTCCTTGAAAAAGTATTCTTTAAAAAATCCACGCCTTGGTAGATGGTCCTTGAAAAAATATTCTTTAAAAAATCCACGCATTAGGTAGATGGTCCTTGAAAAAATATTCTTTAAAAAATCCACGCCTTGGATGGTCCTTGAAAAAATATTCTTTAAAAAATCCACGCCTTGGTAGATGGTCCTTGAAAAAATATTCTTTAAAAAATCCACGCCTTGGTAGATGGTCCTTGAAAAAATATTCTTTAAAAAATCCACGCCTTGGTGGATGGTCCTTGAAAAAATATTCTTTAAAAAATCCACGCCTTGGTAGATGGTCCTTGAAAAAATATTCTTTAAAAAATCCACCCCTTGGTGGATGGTCCTTGAAAAAATATTCTTTAAAAAATCCACGCCTTGGTAGATGGTCCTTGAAAAAATATTCTTTAAAAAATCCACGCCTTGGTGGATGTTCCTTGAAAAAATATTCTTTAAAAAATCCACGCCTTGGTAGATGGTCCTTGAAAAAATATTCTTTAAAAAATCCACGCCTTGGTAGATGGTCCTTGAAAAAATATTCTTTAAAAAATCCACGTTTAATGGTCCTTTGGTCCTTGAAAAAATATTCTTTAAAAAATCCACGCCTTGGTAGATGGTCCTTGAAAAAATATTCTTTAAAAAATCCACGTTTAATGGTCCTTGGTCCTTGAAAAAATATTCTTTAAAAAATCCACGCCTTGGTAGATGGTCCTTGAAAAAATATTCTTTAAAAAATCCACGTTTAATGGTCCTTTGGTCCTTGAAAAAATATTCTTTAAAAATCCACGCCTTGGTAGATGGTCCTTGAAAAAATATTCTTTAAAAAATCCACGCCTTGGTAGATGGTCCTTGAAAAAATATTCTTTAAAAAATCCACGTTTAATGGTCCTTTGGTCCTTGAAAAAATATTCTTAAAAAAATCCACGTTGAATGGTCCTTTGGTCCTTGAAAAAATATTCTTAAAAAAAATCCACGCCTTGGTGGATGGTCCTTGAAAAAATATTCTTAAAAAATCCACGTTTAATGGTCCTTTGGTCCTTAAAAAAATATTCTTTAAAAAATCCACGCCTTGGTGGATGGTCCTTAAAAAAATATTCTTTAAAAAATCCACGCCTTGGTGGATGGTCCTTAAAAAAATATTCTTTAAAAAATCCACGTTTGTTGTGGTCTTTAGGAAATATTCTTTAAAATATCCACGTTTGTTGTGGTCTTTAGGAAATATTCTTTAAAATATCCACGTTTGTTGTGGTCTTTAGGAAATATTCTTTAAAAAATCTACGCCTTGGTGGATGGTCCTTAAAAAAATATTCTTTAAAAAATCCACGCCTTGGTGGATGGTCCTTAAAAAATATTCTTTAAAAAATCTACGCCTTGGTGGATGGTCCTTAAAAAAATATTCTTTAAAAAATCCACGCCTTGGTGGATGGTCCTTAAAAAAATATTCTTTAAAAAATCCACGCCTTGGTGGATGGTCCTTAAAAAAATATTCTTTAAAAAATCCACGTCTTAGATGGCCTTTGAAAAAATATTCTTTAAAAAATCCACGCCTTGTGTGGTCATTGTAAACATATTCTTCAAAAAGCCAAGCCTTTGTTGACGATTGAAAAAATATTCTTTAAAGAATACATGCCTTGGATGGCCCATGAAAAAATATTCTTCAAAAAATCCATGGTCCTTAAAAAAATATTCTTCAAAAAATCCACGCCTTGGATGGTCCATGAAAAAATATTCTTTAAAAAATCCACGTTTGTGGTGGTCCTTGTAAAAATATTCTTCAAAAAATCCACGTTTATTTGGTTCTTGAAAAAATATTTTTTAAAAAATCCACGCCTTGGTGGATGGTCCTTGAAAAAATATTCTTTAAAAAATCCACGTTTGTGGTGGTCCTTGAAAAAATTTTCTTTAAAAAATCCAAGCCTGGATGGCATTTGAAAAATATTTTTTAAAAAATCCAAGCCTTGGTGGATGTTCCTTGAAAAAATATTCTTTAAAAAATCCAAGCCTGAAAAATTTTCTTTACAAAAATCCACGTTTTTTTGGTCCTTGAAAAAATATTCTTTAAGAAATATACGTTTGGTTGGAAAAAAAATATTCCTTAAAAAATCCACGCCTTGTATGGTCTTTGTTAAAATATTCTTTAAAAAATTTAGGCCTTGGATGGTCCTTGAAAAAATATTCTTCAAAAAATGCACGCCTCTATTGCTCCTTGAAAAAATATTCTTTAAAAAATCCATGTTTGTGGTAGCCCTTGAAAAAATATTCTTTAAATATTCTTTTCTCTTTCAGCCAGCAAATTCGTTTCGAACGTCACCGAAATCGGAGATTATCGCACCTCAATAAAACTGCACATAAATCCCCTGTCAGCCTCCGATTTTGGGGCATATCGTTGTGTGGCGAAAAATTCGCTGGGAGATACGGATGGAACCATTAAATTGTACAGTAAGTATTGAGAGAAAAAATATTGTTCTTCTCTTTTGAAAAGAGAGTAGTTTCTCGATGAGTAACTAAAATCATTTTTCTCTTTTCTTTACTTTTTTCCAGAAATACCATCGAATACCATTAATGATGTGGAAGGATATCCTCGAAAGAAAGGTGAGTATTAAATTATGGTAGAGGGGAAATATTTTCTAGGGGAGAGATTTGGAGAAATTTTTAAATTTTTTTACAAAAATTAATAAATATTGGAAAATTGAGTTAATAAATTGCCGTCTGACATAATGGGATTAAATACAGTAGAACCTGTCATTGATTATTAGGAATTGATTTTAATGGGGTGAACCTCTTTGGTTAGAGCAAAATTTGTAGCAAATATTTCATTTCAGAAAATTCTTGATTTTTTTATTTATTTTTTTTTTTTTTTGTGAAAATCAATTTTTTGGAGTTTCCACTTTAAATCCGTATTCTATTCATATGCAAATTTAAAGCCATTATCCATTTACCCAGATCATAATTAATTTCTAAACAATATTTTCCCCTCTCATAGACCTAATTAAATAATTAGCTGCTACAATAACTTGGCGAAACGAATCAATGCCCATACATGCGTATACATTTAGGCATATTTAAATGCAAAAATTTGTTGCATACTTTACGGATTAACTTTTTGTGGTCGTATTCAAAGAGCTAGGCAAAAAATAACAGCCAATCAGACAATATTCTATGGCAAAAAAACACATTTTCCAATTTAATAATTTGTAAATATTTTCTTTTCATTTCCATTTCATCCATTCAACACCCAAAACGCAAAAGGCAAAAAACGTATCAAATCATCTGAACCTTATCATCAGTCGAAAGTAACCTCAAGTGAAAGTGAGGAAAATGAAAATCCTGGAAAACGGAAAGGTATGTTGTTATTTCATGTGCAAATAAAGCAAAAGCAAAAAAAAAGAAGACAAGGAGAAGGGAAAAAATATTGACACAATTCAAATAAAGGTTTGACAGCCAAAAAAAAAAAAAAAAAAAAAACGGAAAATAAAATAAAAGAAAATTTAAATGAAAAGACCGAAATTTTGAACTGTGTCTGTCTGGCTGCCTGCCTTACTGTCTCAGTTCAAGCAAAGCAAATATTGTTAGATAAAATAAAAGGACTCTGGAGAGCGATTAAATAAATAAAACGAAATATTATGAAGCTATAATAGTACGCAAACAAATATCGGTCATGGGATTATGGCACGGTAAGGGTGGAAAAGGTGCAAGGATATTCCACGGTGGAAGGATTTTCCACGGTTGGCATTTCTTAGAAAATGCCAAGCAGTGGGAAGAAAAAACCTCTTGGGGTTTAACTTAATAAAGGGCAAATATGGCACCGAATTTCTGTTATTCTTAAAATGGCATAAATGAAGTCTTATTAAACAAGGGTTTCGCTCACTTTTGTTGTAAGGTAATGATGTGCAAATAAAAAACCTGGATTAAATTGGGTTGGAAAAATAGGTAAATAAAGAAAAAAAAATATATATATATACTCATTAAAAGGAAGGAGATTTTATGGAGAAAACAATACAAGAAAATATTTAAGGAATAATTTTTAAGAAAAAGTCGGATTTCTAAAAAAATGTTTAAAGGATACTCTACTTTGGTCCTAGAAAAAATTTCTGGGACCAAAGAAAAGTCAAAATTTAAAAAAAAAAAAAAATAAAGGATATTCTTCTTTGGTAATGGAAAAAATTTCTTTATTGGTAGTCCTTGAAAAAATATTTTTAAAAAATTTCTGAAAATACGTTTTTAAGGTCATCAATAACATGGATTTTTTAAAATAAAAAATCAAGAACTTTCAATAAACAAGGATTACTAAAAATATTTTATCAATGAACGTGGATTTTTTAAAGAATATTTTTTCAATGACTATAAATAAACGTGAATTTAAAAAAATATATTTTTCCAAGGACAATCAACAACGTGCATTTTTTAAAAAATATTTTTCAAGGTCTATCAATAAACGTGGATTTCGGAAAAATATTTTTTCAAGTATTATCAATAAACGTGGATTTCTGAAAAATATTTTTTCAAGGACTATCAATAAACGTTGATTTTTTAAAGAATATTTTTTTCATGGTCAATAAACGTGGATGTTTTAAAAAATACTTTTTCAAGGACCAAAAGCCCAATAAACGTGAATTTAATAAAGAATAAAGAATTTAATAAACATAGATTTTATACAGAATTTTTTCCAAGGACTTTCCCAACAATAAAAGGGGATTTTTTAAAGAATATTTTTTCAAAGACCAAAGTACCATTAAACGTGGATTTTTCTTACAAAATTTCTTCAATGATCAAAAGACCTTTAAACGTGGATTTTTAAAGAAAAATTTTCAAGGACCATTAAACGTGAATTATTTAAAGAAAATTTCTTCAGAGACCAAATAGCCATTAAATGTGGATTTTTTAAACAAACTTTCGTCAAGGACCAAATGACTAATAAACGTGGTTTTTTTAAAGAATATATTTTAAAGGACCAAACCAACAATCAACGTGGATTTTTTAAAAAATATTTTTCAAGAACCAAAGGACTGTTAAACGTTCCAGTATCATCAGACCAATAAACGTAGATTTTTTGAAATGTTTTTTTAAGGAATAAAAACTATTTTTCAGAATTCCAGGATTATTGATAGTCCTTGGAAAAATATTTTTCAGAAGTCCAGGATTATTGATAGTCCTTGGAAAAATATTTTTCAGAAGTCCAGGATTAGTGATAGTCCTTGGAAAAATATTTTTTAAAAAATCCACTTTTATTGATAGTCCTTGAAAAAATATTTTTAAAAAAATACACGTTTATTGATAGTCCTTGAAAAAAATATTTTTTTAAAAAATCCACTTTTATTGATAGTCCTTGAAAAAATATTTTTAAAAAATCCACTTATATTGATAGTCCTTGAAAAAATATTTTTAAAAAATTTCTGAAATAATGTTTTAAGAACTATCAATAAACGTGGATTTTTTAAAAAATATTTTTTCAAGGACTATCAATAAACGTGGACTTTAAAAAAAATATTTTTTCAAGGACTATTAATAAACGTGAATTTAAAACAAATATTTTTTAAGGTCTATCAATAAACGTGGATTTATGAAAAATAATTTTCCAATGACTATCAATAAATGTGGATTTCGGAAAATATTTTTTCAAGGACTATCAATAAACATGAATTTCCGAAAAATATTTTTTCAAAACTTATCAATGAACGTGGATTTTTAAAAAAAAAAATGCAAAGACTATCAGTAGACGTGGATTTTTAAAATAATTTTTTTTTCAAGGATTATCAATAAACGTGGAATTTAAAAAAAAAAAAAAAAATTTTCAAGGATTATTAATAAACGTGGATTTTTAAAATAAAATTTTTTCAAGGACTATCAATAAAAGTTGATTTAAAAAAAAATATTTTTTCAAGGACTATCAATAAAAGTTGATTTAAAAAAAATATTTTTTCAAGGACTATCAATAAACGTGGATTTTTTAAAAAATATTTTTTCAAGGACTATCAATAAACTTGGATTTCTGAAAAATATTTTTTCAAGGACTATCAATAAACGTGGATTTTTTAAATATATTTTTTCAAGGACTATCAATAAACGTGGATTTTTTAAATATATTTTTTCAAGGACTATCAATAAACGTGGATTTTTTAAAACAAATTTTCTCAAGGACTACCAATAAGCGTTGATTTTGTAAAAAAGATTTTTTCAAGGACTATCAACAAACGAGGATTTTTTTAAAAATATTTTTTCAAGGACTATCAACAAATATGGAAATATATTTTCAAGGACTACCAATAAACATGGATTTTTTAAAAAATATTTTTTCAAGGACTATCATTAAACGTGGATTTCTGAAAAAAAAAAAATATTTTTTCAAGGACTATCAATAAACGTGGATTTCTGAAAAAAAAACATTTTTCAAGGAGTATCAACAAACGTGGATTTTTTAAAAAATATTTTTTAAGAAACTATCAATAAACGTGGCTTTTTAAAAATATTTTTTAAGAAACTATCAATAAACGTGGCTTTTTAAAAATATTTTTTTAAGGACTGTCCATAAACGTGGATTTTTTAAAAAATATTTTTTCAAGAACTATTAATAAACGTGAATTTCTGAAATATATTTTTCCAAGGAGTATCAATAAACGTGGATTTTTAAAAAAAATATGTTTTCAAGGACTATCACTAAACGTGGATTTTATAAAAAATATTTTTTCAAGGACTATCAATAAAAGTGGGTTTTTAAAAAAGTATTTTTTCAAGGACTATCAATAAACGTGGATTTTTAAAAAATAGCTTTTCAAGGACTATCAATAAACGTGGATTATAAAAAAATATTTTTTCAAGGACTATCAAAAAACGTGGGTTTTTAAATATTTTTACAAAGACTATCAATAAACGTGGATTTTTAAAAAATATTTTTTCAAAGGACTATCAATAAATGTGGATTTCTGAAAAACATTTTTTATCAATAACCACCAATAAAGGAGGATTATTTTAAAAAAAATATTTTTTCAATAAACATGGATTTTTAAAAAACATTTTGTCAAGGACTATCAAAAAAAAGTGGATTTTTTAAAAAAGTATTTTTTCAAGAACTATTAATAAACGTGGATTTTTAAAAAAAATATTTTTTCAAGGAATACCAACAAACGAGGATCTTTTAACAAATATTTTTTCAAAAACTATCAAAAAACGTGAATTTTTTAAAAAATATTTTTCAAGGACTATCAATATACGTGGATTTAAAAAAAAAAAATATTTTTCCAAGGACTATCAATAAACGTGGATTTTTAAAAAAAATATTTTACCAAGGACTATCAATAAACGTGAATTTCTGAAAAATATTATTCAAAGGACTATCAATAAACGTGGATCTCTGAAAAATACTTTTTCATGGACTATCAATAAATGTGGATTTCTGAAACATAATTTTTCAAAAACTATCAATAATCCTGAACTTCTGAAAAAATATTTTTTTAGTCATTAAAAAAACATTTTTAAAATATCCACATTTATTGGTCTGATGATCCTGAACGTTTGACAGTCCTTTGGTTCTTGAAAAATATATCTTAAAAAATCCATGTTTATTGGTCTGATGATTCTGGAACTTTTAACAGTCCCTTGGTCCTTGAGGAAAATTTCTGCAAAAAATCCACGTTTATTGGTCCTTTTATTTGTTGTTGTGGTGGTCGTTGATACAATTTTCTGTAAAAATCCACGTTGATGGCCCTTTGGTCCTGGATAACATTTTCTTTAAAAAACCCACCTTGAAGATCCTTTGTCCCTAGAAGAAATTTTCTTTAAAAAGTCCACGTTTAATGGTCTTTTGGTCCTTGAAGAAATATCGTTTAAAAAATCGACGTCTAATAGTCCTTTGAAGAAACTTTAATTAAAATATCCATGTCCTTGAAGGGACTTTCATTAAAAGAAAATTCTTTAAAAAAAAATCCTAAAAAAATTCTTCCTAATACCCGCTTTTTCGGTTAAGATGGTCCTTGAAAAAAATTCTTAAAAAAATATCTAACCATGGATTTTTGGAAAGATCATCAAGGGTCATTTATAGTCAATTTTTTTAAGTCCACATTTATTGTTGAGATGGTCCTTAATAAAATTCTTTAAAAAAACATTTTTGGAATTGTCCATGGAAAAATATTTCTTAAAAATCCAATTTTTTTTGGTAGGTCCTTAAAAAATCTTTAAAATGCCCATTTTCACTGTTGAGATGGTCCTTGAAAAATATTATTTAAAAAATCGACTTTCAGTGTTGAGATGGTCTTTGGAAAAAAAATTCTTTAAAAAATCACGTTTATTGTTGTGAAGATCTTTGAAAAAGAATTTTTTTTAAAAAACAACATTTACTGATTGGAAGGTCCTTGGGAAAATCTTAAAATATAAACGTTTAATGCTGGGAATATACTTGGAAAAATGTCAATAAAAATCCATGTTTATTTTTGAGAATTATTGAAGGAAATATTCTTTAAAAAATCCTCGTAAATTGTTCCCTGAAAGAAATATTCTTTAAAAAATCCTCGTAAATTGTTCCTTGAAAGAAATATTCTTTAAAAAATCCTCGTAAATTGTTCCTTGAAAGAAATATTCTTTAAAAAATCCTCTTAAATTAGTCTTTGAAACAAATATTCTTTAAAAAATCCACGTTTATTTGGTCCTTGAAAAAATATTCTTTAAAAAATCCACGTTTATTTGGTCCTTGAAAAAATATTCTTTAAAAAATCCACGATTATTTGGTCCTTGAAAAAATATTCTTTAAAAAATCCACGTTTATTTGGTCCTTGAAAAAATATTCTTTTAAAAATCCACGTTTATTTGTTCCTTGAAAAAATATTCTTTTAAAAATCCACGTTTATTTGTTCCTTGAAAAAATATTCTTTAAAAAATCCACGTTTATTTGTTCCTTGAAAAAATATTCTTTAAAAAATCCACGTTTATTTGGTCCTTAAAAAAATATTCTTTAAAAAATCCACGTTTATTGGTCCTTAAAAAAATATTCTTTAAAAAATCCACGTTTATTGGTCCTTAAAAAAATAATTTTTAAAAAATCCACGTTTATTGGTCCTTAAAAAAATAATTTTTAAAAAATCCACGTTTATTGATCCTTGAAAAAATATTCTTTAAAAAATCCATGTTTATTGGTCCTTAAAAAAATAATTTTTAAAAAATCCACGTTTATTGATCCTTAAAAAAATAATTTTTAAAAAATCCACGTTTATTGGTCCTTAAAAAAATAATTTTTAAAAAATCCACGTTTATCTGGTCCTTGAAGAAATATGCTTTATGTCTTTTGGTCCTTGGAAAAAATGTTTTTTAAAAACTCCACGTTCATCTGGTCCTTGGAAAAAAATTCTTTAAAAAATCCACATTTATTTGTCTTCTGGTCCTTGAAAAAAATTCTTTAAAAAATCCACGTTTATTTGGTCCTTGGAAAAAATTCTTTAAGAAGTCCACGTTTATTTGGTCCTTGAAAAAAGTTCTTTAAAAAATCCACGTTTATTGGTCCTTGTAAAAAATATTCCCTAAAAAATCCACGTTTTTTGGTCCTTAAAAATATTTTTTAAAAATCCACATTTATGGATCGTCCTTGAAAAAATATTTTTAAAAATTCCACATTTATTGATAGTCCTTAAAAACATATTTTTAAAAAATCCATGTCTATTTGGTCCTTGAAAAAATATTCTTAATTTTTTTTTTAATTATTTTTCTTTTTTTCCCTCTTTCCAGATCTCTTAATGATAACTGAATTCGATGATTTATATCCAAGTTCAGCGGTGGGTCGACACAACAGCAATCCACACCGAACGTCACTTTTGCTAATAAGCATCACAGCGAGCGTGTGTCTGACACTGATGCAACACATCTCCCACTACGTCTGTTGTCGTCAGCAACAACATTGACATCTTCGGATGACAATGACGCTGATGTGATATTTTTTGGGTTATGACGAAAACACTGCTGATGCCACTGACATCCATCCTCAGGCAAATGAAGAGATAATATATAAATATTGTTAAAGCCTTTTACGACGAAAGACGAAGGATTACATTTTAACCTGGCCTAAGGAGCGAAGGGTGGAAGGAAGACAGGAAGAGAGATTACACATGAAGTACATTTGCTATTATATCATACATTTCCAAATGGTAAATTTAACTTTAAGTTGAGTATGTTATATATATGAATAAGAAGCTATATATATAAATTGTATAAAAGTTAAAAACAAACAAAAAAAATATGAAAAGTAGATGAAAAGACAGGCATTGTTTACAACCAGGATGTATGGAAGCACACATGTATGATGTGCAAAATAACAAGTCTTCGAGCATATTTTATGTTGGAGTTAAGAGGAGAAAATAATTTTTTTTATTATATTTTTATTTGGTGAATAAAAAATTTGAGGTTTTCCTGGAAAATGAATTTTTCTTTAGAAAAAAAATTCCTAAGTAAGTGGGGAAGGATTCTTCTATAGAAAAAAAAATCCTCAGGGACTGAGGAAGAATTTTTCTAAAGAAAAAAAAATTCCTCAGTAACTGAGCAAGGATTTTTCTTTAGAAAAAAAATTCCTCAGTGACTGAGGAAGACCTTTTCTATAGAAAAAAATTTCCTCAGTGACTGAGGAAGACTTTTTCTATAGAAAAAAATTTCCTCAGTGACTGAGGAAGACTTTTTCTATAGAAAAAAATTTCCTCAGTGACTGAGGAAGACTTTTTTCTATAGAAAAAAATTCCTCCGGGACTGAGGAAGATTTTTTTCTATAGAAAAAAATTCCTCCGGGACTGAGGAAGATTTTTTTCTATAGAAAAAATTCCTCCGGGACTGAGGAAGACTTTTTTCTATAGAAAAAAATTCCTCCGGGACTGAGGAAGACTTTTTCTATAGAAAAAAATTCCTCCGGGACTGAGGAAGACTTTTTTCTATAGAAAAAAATTTCCTCTGGTACTGAGGAAGACTTTTTTCTATAGAAAAAAAATTTCCTCTGGTACTGAGGAAGACTTTTTTCTATAGAAAAAAATTCCTCCGGGACTGAGGAAGAATTTTTCTATGGAAAAAAAATTCCTCTGGTACTGAGGAAGGATTTTTCTATAGAAAAAAATTTCCTCTGGGACTGAGGAAGGATTTTTCTATAGAAAAAAAATTCCTCTGGTACTGAGGAAGGATTTTTCTATAGAAAAAAATTTCCTCAGTAACTGAGGAAGACTTTTTTCTACAGAAAAAAATTTCCTCAGTAACTGAGGAAGACTTTTTTCTATAGAAAAAAATTTGCTCAGTATCTGAGGAAGACTTTTTTCTATAGAAAAAAATTTCCTCAGTGACTGAGGAAGACTTTTTTCTATAGAAAAAAATTTCCTCAGTGACTGAGGAAGACTTTTTTCTATAGAAAAAAATTTCCTCAGTGACTGAGGAAGACTTTTTTCTATAGAAAAAAATTTCCTCATTGACTGAGGAAGACTTTTTTCTATAGAAAAAAATTTCCTCAGGGACTGAGGAAGACTTTTTTCTATAGAAAAAAATTTCCTCAGTGACTGAGGAAGACTTTTTTCTAAAGAAAAAAATTTCCTCAGTGACTGAGGAAGACTTTTTTCTATAAAAAAAAATTTCCTCAGTGACTGAGGAAGACTTTTTTCTATAGAAAAAAATTTCCTCCGTGACTGAGGAAGACTTTTTTCTATAGAAAAAATTTCCTCAGTGACTGAGGAAGACTTTTTTTCTGTAGGAAAAAATTTCCTCAGTGACTGAGGAAGACTTTTTTCTATAGAAAAAAATTTCCCCATTAACTGAGGAAGAATTTTTCAATAGAAAAAAATTTCCTCGGTAACTGAGGAAGAATTTTTCAATAGAAAAAAATTTCCTCAGTGACTGAGGAAGACTTTTTTCTATAGAAAAAAAAATTCCTCAGTAACTGAGGAAGGATTTTTTTTATAAAAAAAAATCCTCAGTGACTGAGGAAGGATTTTTCTATAGAAAAAAAATTCCTCAGTGATTGAGGAGGGATTTTTGTATAGAAAAAAATTTCCTCAGTGACTGAGGTAGACTTTTTTCTACAGAAAAAAATTTCCTCAGTGACTGAGGAAGACTTTTTTCAATAGAAAAAAATTTCCTCAGGGACTGAGGAAGAATTTTTCTATAGAAAAAAATTTCTTCAGGGACTGAGGAAGACTTTTTTCTATTCTTTTTTCTATAGAAAAAAATTTCCTCAGTAAATGAGGAAGACTTTTTTCTATAGAAAAAAATTCCTCAGTAAATGAGGAAGACTTTTTTCTATAGAAAAAAATTTCCTCAGTAAATGAGGAAGACTTTTTTCTATAGAAAAAAATTCCTCCGGGACTGAGGAAAACTTTTTTCTTTAGAAAAAAATTCCTCCGGGACCGAGGAAGACTTTTTTCTATAGAAAAAAAATCCTCTGGTACTGAGGAAGACTTTTTTCTATAGAAAAAAATTTCCTCTGGTACTGAGGAAGACTTTTTTCTATAGAAAAAAAATTCCTCTGGTACTGAGGAAGGATTTTTCTTTTGAAAAAATTTCCTCAGTAACTGAGGAAGACATTTTTCTATAGAAAAAAATTTCCTCAGTAACTGAGGAAGACTTTTTTCTTTAGAAAAAAATTTCCTCAGTGATTGAAGATGGATTTTTTAATGAAACAAAATTTCCTCAGTGACTGAGGAAGACTTTTTTCTATAGAAAAAAAAATCCTCAGTGACTGAGAAAGACTTTTTCTATAGAAATAAATTTTCTCAGTAATTGAGGGGGAATTTTTCTACAGAAAAAAATTTCCTCAGTGACTGAGGAAGGATTTTTCTAGAAAAAAAATTCCTCAGTGACTGTGGAAGACTTTTTCTGAAGAAAGGTTTTTTTTTTTGCAGAAAAAAAAACCTCAAAAAAATTCCAAACCAAAATTATAAAATACTGTGCAGCATTTATTAATTTATTATTTTAAAATATTGTAATCTAAATTAAAATAACAGCAGAACCAGGGATATAAAAGAGATAAATACCCAAAAAAAAAAAAAAAATAAATAAATAAAATAAAATTTAGAATCATGGCATTGTGGGAGTCAGATCCCGAAGGGATATCAAAATCATAAATTGGACTTCATTTTTTTTTCATCTATTACTTCGCCACAGTCAAAAAATTAAAAAAAATGTAAATATGTAAATAAAGTTAAATAAAAAATATAAACAAATCATAATCTACAACATTTGTATATAATAAAGACTGTTGAACTATATACATAAAAAAATATTAAAAATAAATATTGTAAGTCTATATCTAAGAGTATTTATACGAAGTTGTGTTACAATACAAAAACAAAATTAGTATTATATATATAGAAATAGAATTATTATATAAAAAAATGTTTCATGCAAAAACATATCATTTGACATAAATATAAAAAATAAAAAAAAATGAAAAAAAAAATATTTATAATAAAAATGAAGTTAATTGTTCAACATTGATAATCTTAAAAGAATTAAAAATATATAAGGAGTTATATAAGACATAAAATAATAAAAAAAATAATAATAAAAAATTAATCAATGCAACACAAAACGTATATACACATATGGGAGAAATATATATGTAATATGCTTGTTAATTATAAAAATAAACATAAAATTATTATTATTGCAAAAATGAGGGGCAAATTTGCTTACAAAGTTGACAAAATTAAAAAAAAAATATTTATATTTTATTTGAAAAATTTAATTTCTAACGACAAACAGAACAATGCCACATAAGCCATAACCAAATGAAAATCTAAAGCTTAGCTGAAATAATATAAATACCTAAAAAACTTGGTATATAAATTCGAGACGATCGTATTTATCAATTTGCTTTTCCAAAGCAAAACTTGGAGGCAAAAAATAATATCAATTAAAAATTGTAAATTTTCTATAACAGAGTTGAAAGGAAAAAAATACCCAAAAATATAAAATTATAGAATATGTTATGCCATAAGTGAATATATATATTATATAGGGAAATAATAAAAATAAAATAAATATATATTGAAAATAAAAACTATAACCGTTATGTTAAAGGATATTTTGATGGTAAGTTTGGATCTGGGATTTATTTAGACAATTAATGAACAAATAAAATTAAAAATAAATAAATAATAAAAATATATATATATAAAATCAGTAAGTTCCGACCGGGCCGAACTATGAAAACCTTCCAACATTTTGAACGAACTTGGCAACTGTCAAAAAAAAAATAAATAAACAATAATAATAATACTAATAATAATAATAATAATAATAATAATAATAATAATAATAATAATAATAATAATAATAATAATAATAATAATAATAATAATAATAATAATAATAATAATAATAATAATAATAATAATAATAATAATAATAATAATAATAATAATAATAATAATAATAATAATAATAATAATAATAATAATAATAATAATAATAATAATAACGACGTCATGGACCTGCTTAGGCAACTCTTGTCCTAAGCCATTACAATATTAAATTGCGAAACTTGAAAAAAGAAGAAATCGGTAAATAATGTAGCTAAAATTATCAAAATACCGAATATAGGAGGTACCATGTTTATTGGTCTGAAAGTCCTTGAACAAATTTTGTTTAAAAAAATCAACGTTTATTCCTCTTAAAATCCTTGAACAAATTTTGTTTAAAAAATCCACGTTTATTCCTCTTAAAATCCTTGAACAAATTTTGTTTAAAAAATCCACGTTTATTCCTCTTAAAGTCCTTGAACAAATTTTGTTTAAAAAAATCCACGTTTATTCCTCTTAAAATCCTTGAACAAATTTTGTTTAAAAAATCCACGTTTATTCCTCTTAAAGTCCTTGAACAAATTTTGTTTAAAAAATCCACGTTTATTCCTCTTAAAGTCCTTGAACAAATTTTGTTTAAAAAATCCACGTTTATTCCTCTTAAAGTCCTTGAACAAATTTTGTTTAAAAAATCCACGTTTATTCCTCTTAAAGTCCTTGAACAAATTTTGTTTAAAAAATCCACGTTTATTCCTCTTAAAGTCCTTGAACAAATTTTGTTTAAAAAATCCACGTTTATTCCTCTTAAAGTCCTTGAACAAATTTTGTTTAAAAAATCCACGTTTATTCCTCTTAAAGTCCTTGAACAAATTTTGTTTAAAAATCCACGTTTATTCCTCTTAAAGTCCTTGAACAAATTTTGTTTAAAAAATCCACGTTTATTCCTCTTAAAGTCCTTGAACAAATTTTGTT